CTTGCCTTTGCTACATCAGTCTTATACAATTTATTGTCTAGTAACTTCCCTTAAGCTACAGAGTAAGTAGCAAAACCGAGGAAAGGGACTTAGTTCCATTTCCACAACATATCTCCTTTTAATGACATTGTGATAGGTCCTGGGCAGTACAGTTAATATGCTTGGCTTTTAAGTGAAAGACAGAATGTTCATATCTATTCTTTGGCACTTCAAAACAAAGACCTGGTGATCTTTACCAAACACTGGCTGTTGAAAACTCTGCAGAATATTATTGTCATGACAGGAGTCCAGAACGAAGGCTGCAGAGTGGAGTGGACTTGGGAGGAGGGATTGTACACCGATAATTTTACTTTTCAAAGAGAAGAGCGAACTGGGGGGGAGGCTGGCCAGGGAGAAAAGTGCAACAATGATTGAATGGAAATCCAAAGACTCTATAAACTTTCATTGAAATTAATAACAATAAAAAAGCACAAAAGTCTGCCGAGTGTGTGGGATAGCGTAGATCCTCCTGGCAGCACCACTAGTTGGAGTTCTCACAAAGGCAGCTGGCTAAACTGATTTTATTACATTGTTGTCCAGAATGGAGCTTATAGCAACTTTTAAGCAGTTAAGAAGTTCTCACTAATACCTGAGAAGGGTTTACTGGTACTGCCACACTCTGACCCAAGTGCGAATGCTCCTAGAAGGGCTTGGCTTGGCTTTTCCATATGGCAAATGCCTAATACATGGTCGATTTTCAAACACGTATTTGTGGGACTGAAATTTTGCTGTCCCCACAGACTTAGTCAATTGATGATGTCTCTGATAGATTACTGCTGTGCATTTGAAAGTCATGGCAACACTTTTATCAATGTCATCACTGGGGGGGGTCTAAGATTCAATTTGTATTTTATGCTCTAGAATGGCCACAAAGAGGAAAGTGGCTTTGCTTTGGGATATGAGGAGATACTCAACTATCAGTGGGATTCTTAACACCAAGCTTAATAAGACGAAAACAGGGGGTACTGAAAAAGATGTAAATGTGTCTCTCGGAAATATAATTTGGCCTGGTTTTTTGCCTCTTTTCCCCAAAAGATTTTAGAATACTCAAATGTCTAACCCATCATCTTCTTCTCTTAGCTGACTCTCCACTGGGTGTCCAGGGCTGTGAATAGCATGGGAGGAGATGACTCATCTTTTTTCTGTAGAACCACAGGGGGATTCGAACGACCAGAGAGGTGTGGCCTTTGAGTTAGCAGCACAGCTCTACAGGCTGTCCCTAGAACTCCCTCCTGATTGGACAGTCCCATTATTTTTGGTAGCCTCCAACCCGGAAATGCAAAGCCATGTTTTTCACGAATCATTCTTCAAATACGTTTGCTGTGTTTTCACAATCTAAAACATTATACCTCATTCTCATTTGACCAACGTGAGTCAGAAAAATGCCAGTACTTGGGGGAAATGTGAAAGCTAAGCATCGTCCCAGTCTAGAACTGTCAGGTGAGATCTTCACACATACCAGCTATTTTGGTAGCTTCAAAAGCATAAGAAGCATACTCTAGGGAGCTCTGGTGGCCTAGTGGCAAAAAGCTGCACTGCAATCCCAGAGGTACACGGTTCGAATCCACCAGATGCTCTGCTGGAGAAGGAGGGGTAATCTCCTCCTGTACCAGTCAGATATGATTTGATGGCACACACACACACACACACACACACACACACACACAGAATAATAAAAATTAAATTTAAAAAAAACAAAAAAAGAAGCATACTCTACCTCGTCTATATTCACACCTGTGTTCTGGAAGTTTCCTCTCTTGAGTGGTGGGACATTTTAATTGAAATGAATTGGCTAGTTGATAACAGTCATGTGGTGAGAATCAGTATCTTGCCATCTTATAATATTTTTAAGAAATTATCTTTATTTTTAATTGTTCATCTTGACATGCCAATGAATATTTAGGCCACATTTTGAGCAAAACTCACAAGTTGGTTGTGTTTGTTGCTTTTTGTTTCCTCAAACTTCACAAACGTACGGAAAATAACACAATTTTTAAGGGTTTGCAGAAAAGAACAAAGCATGAGAAATACATTGACATACAAGCTCATAACCCTCTTCAATTCAATAAGTGGATCTGATTCAACAAGGGAAGAAGTTACTGAAAATGAGGCTGTTTTGTAGGAAGCACTATCTGAAGATAAAAGTCTGCAGGTGTTCTTTAAGTCCCTTTGTAGGAAATCTTAAGCAGATAGAAACAAAGTTGGAGTTTTGTCTAGCCTAGCAGGGGGCAATGGGCAGGTCAAAGTGTGGTAAGCAAGGTTCTGACTATCGACTGCTGCTGTTAAAAGGAAAAGCCAGCTTTGCCTATGAAACCTGGCAGTGATAATATATTCTTTCTTTCTCTTAATTGAATCTTAACTTTGCCTTTTAACTTACAAAATGTAGCCCTTTGATTCCTTTCTTCTCTAGCAGTAAAAGAAGTTTGTTAAGTCAACTATTAATGGTCCACAGACTAGGAGTAGAAAAATTACAAAGAGAAAATTCGTAGCTAATCCAAGATTTGTGTTTTAACTAGTAACGGGACTCCCTCTGCCTACATATTGCAAGAGAGTCACTGGTAGGTGAAAAAAGTTTTCCTAAACTTTTTCTTCATTTGCCAAAGAATGAGTAGTTCAAGAAGTCTCCAAATGATTGAAAGAAGAGGAGACAGGTGCAGAATTCGTGCATGTGTCTCATTTTGCATCAGAGTTATTGTACTTGTAGCTACTTCTTAGGCTTAACCCTAGGATATTTGGTAATTATCTCTGTGTCTTTCCTCTAGAACTAATTGTTTCAGAAATACTCTTGCCCTATGAACTTGGAACTATTTGTAACACCTCCAATATCACTTCAATTATAACATAATTAAAACAAGTCCATTTTCTAGGTTCTTTTCCATTCATGAAAAGCATATCTTCATTCCTGCCTCAACTTTCTCAGCTCCCGTCATTGCTTGCCTTGGTTTGATCAGGGCCACTGTAAAGTCTTCTCTGCATCATCAAACCTCGAACAAGAGAGATCTAGAAGCATGGATACATCCAACATATTCTTCTTGGGGCCTTGTCATGCTGACAACTTTTAAGTATTTGTCCTCCCGAAGCAATTATAAAAGTGTGTGTCAGCTATACAGCTGTGACAGAAAAAACCCCCCAGCAAAACAAAATAGCTTTCACAACTTTTCTCCTTGTCCCTATCAAGAATTTCAACTTCTCATCCACCTATTTCATAAGGTTTCTACAACTTTCCTTAGCACCATCTAATAGTCTCACCTACTTTAATGAAAATATAACCAACTTTCCAAAAATGTACCCTAAGCTTTAACTCTACTAATCCCAGTCTCTTTATAGGAACTTAATATAATTTGTATGTGAGGAGTGAAAACAACAACAACAACAACAACAGAACCCAACAACAGTACAATTGCACTTTGGGAATGAAATTTAGCCATGGTTCTATCATGCAAAGGAACAGATAGTGGCAGAAATTCCCTCCCACCATCACATTATTTGAGGGCAAACAAAAAGAGGCATTACCAGTTTTAATCTGATGTTAACTATGTTAAGAACTTATAAAGAAAAGATTCAATGCACAGAGCTTAGGAAGCTAGAGAAGAACGCTGTAATAAATTGATTTTCTGGTCAAGTATCTGCAGAGGAAAAAAAAAAAGGGAAACACAATTCTAAGGTGACTATGCTAGCTAGGACCATAATTAACCACATCAACCTGCCAGTAAGGGAAAGTCTTTCAAAAAAACCCAAGGACTTTCTTTACTCAAATAATGTTACCTTGGCTAAACAGTTGGGTAGCTGTTCATAAAATGAAGAAGAAAAGAAAAATCCAGTTACTTTTAACACCAAAGAAATGAATGCCAATCATAAACCAAAGGTACTTTGGTACGATAGCCATAACAGACAGATGCGCAGTGTGGGAGCAGGGAATTCCCTTATGCTTGTATGACAGGGTCACAGAAGGTGTTTGAGAACTGCTCTGTTTCCTGTGAGGCTGACATCCTGCTGTGTCCCCTCATGAGAGTCCTATAGACACAAGCGTATCAGTTGTCTTGTTCAGACAGAGTGTGCAACATCGCTGCATTGAGAAGTGACTTCAGGCTCACTGAAGGGTCTCTTTAATCTGAGGGAATGCTGCTTGGCCATAGAGGACACACTACGGTCTCAAGCGGAATGCATGTGGAGTTCCAAACAGTTTCCTCAGAGACTTTGTTTTGGTTTGTGACTTTAGATGGAAAGCACAGAGGCTGACATGGGACAGCAGTTCAGAAAGACGTCTGTGAGGATTTACGTTGGGCAGCTTTCAGAAGATGAAAGACGTTTAAAGTTAAGGCCTTTATCAGCAAACAACAGTATATTAATAAACTCTATATACCATATTTACAAATGCATTCTCTTGTATGAAAACTAACAGTATTTTGTTCACAGTGCCATTGTTTATAAGGTAGCAATCCCATAATACTCATGTATTTTGGCATGGGAATCAGTAACGCTTGGTATTTACAGAAAATGTACAGGTGTGAATGGAAACATGCCGCTGAATCTGAGTTAGCGATAAAAGACAGATTGGCTAATGGTGCAAAGGATTGAGACCTACAGCACCATCCCCTCCATCCACTAGGAAACCGTGGATTCTGAAATGATGGAGATGCCAGATCTCTCACCCGAGGCGGCATCGAGTCAGTAACAAAACAATGATCTCCTTGTGTACATTGAGGACTCTTAGTCCAGAATTCTAGATCCATTGTCTAGTGCACAAAATAGAAAAGTTAAAAAGGTTTATTATTATCTTTATAATAATAATTATTATTAAAATAGAAGGTACTCTCTCTCGTGCGCCCTCGCGTGTGCTCTGGCCCTTGAGACCACTCTCGGGAGCTCCCGATTATGCTGGTGTTTTTCATCATGCAACTCTGCAGTCAGCTGCCACACGGGGCAAGAAATGCTCTGGACTTTGTAGGAAGTGCTGCCTGTCACCGGGTGTGTGTGACCAGGGTCTGTGGGGGACACGGCAGGAGCACCTCATTCTTCTCCTTGGGTGGCAGCCTGCCCCTGGCATCAAGCTCCCACGTTACTGAATGGAGTTGCTCGTTTCGGCAGCGAACGCTGAGGTGACAGATGGCTTCTGTACAGTTGGAAATGGGCGAGGCCAGTAAAGAGGAGGAGGGTGGCTTTCTGAAGAGGTCAAAAACAGAACCCAGAGCAGGGCTGGGCTCGCGGGTGTGAACTCTTCAGCTTCTACCCCCTCCGGGAGGCCCTGCCGGGGAAGGTCCTCGTTCCCTGGGCTCCGAGTGTGGCATGGACCTACTGGGCCTCGGCCGCAGTCCCCGTCTGTGCCTCCTTCTCCGTGCCCGCGCCTACGTGCTCGGGGCCTCCACTGCTGCTCCTCGGCTGCTTGTGCAACAGGCTCTTCCACTGGGCCTTGTTGTGCGCGAGATGGCTCAGCATGTTCTCAGACAGGGGGCTGTTTCCAGTAAAACGGGCCCATTCCTGGAACAGGGGCTCCACGATGTAGGTCATGAAACCTGAGAGAGAGGGTGAGGAGAACTCATCACCAAGAGGGCAAGAACTACTGCTTTCTTCAGACAAAACCGGGATCCCATTGTTTGTTCCCCCAAGAATGGGGAAGGCAAATGAGATGTGGCCACCACTCATAGTTTAGGAACTTAATTTAAGGTGTGTTCCAGTGGGATTGTCATTTCACCTTTATATGTCTTAGTTCCCTCATCTGTTTTAAAAAACAAAAATCAGAACAGAACAAAGCAAAAATTCCCTAAATCAATCAATCAATCAATCAAACAGAAATCCACAACAAAAATCTGAGAGCATCAACCCACAGGAGCTATAATGGTTAAGCTCTTGGCTACTAAATGCAAGGCTAGAGGTTCAAATCCATCTAGTGGCTGTTTTAAGGGAGCAAGATCTGGTGATCTAGTCCTAGAAAAGACTAAACCAAAGTAAAACCAGTTGCTGTGAAATTGGGTCAGACTCATAGTGACCCTATAGGACAGAGTAGACCTCATAGTGAGCCTGTAGGACATAGGAATTCCTAGGCTCCTCTTGGAAAGGAACACCATGCTTGGAAAAGTAGAGGAAAGGGAGGAAGAGCTGCCAGGAGATGGGCTGACACAATGGGCTTAAGTAAAGTACAGATTGTATTTCACTCTGTAGTACATAGAATCACTGTGAGTTGAAGATGACTCCAAGTCCTTAACAACAACAACAATAACAATTTTTATGGGCTGTTCCATGGGAACATTAATATAGAATACTAGCTGCTCGGTGGGAGAAAGATGGACAATTTCCTCCCCTAAAGATTTACAGCTCCAGAAACTGCCGGAAGGTCACCGTGTCAGGATCATCGGTGGGTTGGAAATCTTTCTGGAGCAGAAGGCTACATCAGTCTCTCAGGAGTTCACGGTGAGTTGCTCCTCCTTGGTTAGTAGCTCAGTGCTGACCCAAACTACTAGCAGAATCGCTTTGGCCAAGATGACAAGGAAACCCTACAAGAAATTTCTACTCAGTCCCATGAGGCTACAAGAAGTCAAAGTTGACTTCTTAACATCTAACAGAAGCAACAATCAAGCCCATAAGAGATTTGTTAGGACAAATAAATGGTGTCATGTGTGTTCAATGCTTAGAACGCTCCTGTCACTTAAACAATAAACACTGGCTATTATTTTTGGGGAACTCTGGGGGTGTTGAACCGCTTCACATCTCTGGTGGATCATGTCCACCAGCTGCAACCTGAGTGAAAGATGGGCAGTCTGCTTAAGATTTATAGTCTCTGAAACTCAATGGAGGGTCAGTTATGAGTTGGAACTGACTTGATGGCAGTGAATTTGAGTTTTGAATATTATTTCCAGATGGAGAAAGATGTAAACCAAAATTTTTTTCTTCCCCCTCCTAAAATGGCCTGTCTTGACACAAAAAAATGAGGGTGGGATACAGGGATCAGAGAGGGCAAATGACTTCAAGGGATCTTTTTCAGGATTTGAGTCTTAGGTTTTCATCTTACTTTTAATTATAATAAATAAACTAAATTGAGGTGGACAAAAATGTATTAATTTTTCAATCTAGATTTTTCTACCTGCATAACATCCTGCTTTGAAAAACCCCTAGAGGCACAGAGGATAAAACATTCTGCTACCAAACAAAAGGTTGGTGTTTGGAAACCACTTGTTACTCTTCAGGAAAAAGATGTGGCAGTCTGCTTCTGTATGGGTTTACAGGCTTGGAAATCCACTGGGGCAGTTCTGCACTGTCCTGTAGGATCATTATGGGTCAGAATCAACTGGATGGCCGTGAGTTTGCTTTTGGCTTCTGGCAAACCCTACTTTAATGATCAGAGTTACTGTGCACTCTAATGATCGGACTATCCCATGGACTGCCAACAGAACAAATATATCTGTCTCAGAGGAAGTTCAACTAGGGTGTTCCCTACAGGCAACAGTAGTGACATTATCAGAAGCAGCTAGTCCTTGGAAAAAGATAGCAAGCTTAGAAAAGTAGCGGGTCAACCAGAGTGGCAGACTGCTGAGGAGAGGGATGAACCTAGTGATTATAACAATGGCCTTGACAATGGCAGAGATTGTAAGGATGGTCCAGGATAGGGCGAGGTTTCAATCTGTTGTATATAGAGTTGCTATGAATCATAGTTGACTCAGTGACATCTGACAGCAACTAAACTTTAATGACTAACAAAGATTGCTTTGTAGTAGGCTTCTTTGCATGTCTGTTCTCTTATTTATTTTAGACTCATTGCTTTGTAAGCATGTTTTACATCACAATGCGTTCCATATGAAATACGCTGTGTTAAGAAAAGATAATGGTCAATTGAGGTGAGAATTATTGGATTGATTATATTTTGGTGTCACTGTATTTGTATTTATTCTTCTGTTTTGTTTCTTTGATATGTAGGTGTGGGAGAAAAGGCAATTGCTTTCAGCACAACAATATCTGCCAACAACTAAACCCATATGTTTATGGAAATGTGAATTATAAAGCTTGATTTGATCATCTTTTTATTGGACAAACAACAGATGTTTGATCTTTAAGGACAACAAAGAAATTGGAAAAAAGGATGCAGCTTTGCAAAATCTTATTGCACACTTCTGCATTACTTCATCTGACATGAAGTATGACTTAAACTTGTGAGATCATTTTAGATAACTGAAACCAGAGGAGGAAAATGAAGCCAAACATTTTTCTGTCTATAATGTAGCATTTTGATAAGGTTATGTTAAGAGTTAGGAAAGAATTTTTCATTTTTTCCTTTTCTTAAATTTTCTTTACCTCCTCCACAGTTTTCACATCAAATTTCCAATATTTTTCACTTTTGACTAAAAAGATAGTTTGAAAAATGAAGCTATTTTAAAATGAAACTAAACATTGTAAGATTGAAGTGTGAATACTTATCAAGTTAACCTTGAGTTTTAAGAAGCTACAAATATCAGCACTTTCCCCCCCTTTATAATATCAGCACTTTAAAAATCCAATATCTAATGAATCAATTCCTATTGTTCCCGAGTTTATCCTGGAGATATAAATCTGTGTAGGAGCCCAGGTGGCATGGGATGTAACTTACAGGGCTGCTTGCAGAAAGGTTGGCTGTTTGAACCCACTGAGTAATCCTTGGGAGAAAGAGGACAGTCTCTTCCTGTGAAGATTTATACATTTACAAACCTGAAAGAAGGTTGCTATGAGTCAGAAATGCCTCTGTGGCAGTAGATTGGGGTTTGGTTTATATACATCTGTTTTCATACTTGTCCAGATCTTTGGCTAACTCACTTGGTTGCTAACCGGTACATTGGAGGTTCAAGACCACTGAGAGGGATTTCCAAAGAAGGGCCTAAGGATCTACTTCTGAAAAAGTGGGAAAAGGAGATGTGAAGTCCTAGTTCCCTCTGGATAACTTTGAAATACTTATTTAAGCAGAAAACCTGCCCTTAAGACATTCTCATTTTGCATTGGGACAGAAAAAAAGAGGAGATATTTTCAATAGAAGGGACTGAAAAAAGAGAAATAACTGCATTAATTAGTATCCATGGGAAGATTGTGCCTGGGAGTCTTAGACCTATAGTTCTCATTGTTGTTAGGTACTGTTAAGTCGAGTTCAACTCACAACAAGCCTATGAACAGCTTTGGAGGTTTTCCTCTCCTTCTCTGACACCCCCCCATCTTTCCAAGCATGATCTCCCTTTCCAAGGAATAGCCTCACCTAGCTACATGTCTAACGTATGAAAGATGAAGCTTCGCCATCTTTGCTTCCAAAACTGGCTGCAGTTTTCCCAAGATATGTCTGTCTGTTCCTCTGTCAGTCCATGGGATATTCAGTACAGTTCTCCAACACCACAACTCAAAGGCATCAATTCTTTTTCTATCATTCTTATTAATTGTCCAGCTCTCTGATGCATAGCAGGTGATTGAGAAGACTATGGCCTGAATCAGACACACCTTAGTATTCAAACTTACATCATTACTCCTCAGCATTCTGGAGAGGTCCCTGACAGTAGACATGCGCAATGCAATACGTCTCCTGATTTCCTGGCTGCGTGTACTAATTTATCTCTCTGGGCTTTTCCCATCATAATCTGATTTCCACTGCATACCACATGACTCAAGACTGAACCAATGGGGCTGAGAGATGTGAAGCACAGACAAGGCTCATGTCTTAAGTGCTGTTTTACAAACCCCTTCTCTTCCTTTATTGTTGCTGTGTTCATGTACATCCATGAGATTTCCCTATTCACTCAACCCCGTGCCATTTAAAAAACAAAACAAAACAAAACAAAACAAAACAGGTCTCTATGGCAACCACATTTCCTGGGCTGAAAATCAGGACATGAATCTGACAAAATAAGTGTGTTCTCATGACAACAATAGGGCAGCATCTGTGAAATCAGGTCTACCTTGACAATCCAGACAGTGCCCCTAACAAGAGAAGCTGCTTTTATTTGAGAGTCTTGAACCATTGTCTGATACGTTTCTTTCTAGTCAGAGCTCTATAAAGTGAGTAGGACCATGTGCCGGGTCTATTCCTTTCAAGTCATGGCTGCAGAACTTCTAACACTGAAAGACGAGAACAGGTCACAAGGAGCTGCGGATGCTTCCTTTGTTGATGCTCCCATCAGCAGTTCTCTATCTTCATCTGCCTTGGGTCTTATAGGTCTTATTTTTCTTTTTTTTTAGTATACATAGTATAAATATAGATATTTACTTATTTAATTTATATATATCTACATATATATATAGTTCATTTCATTTGTTGTTGAGAATATACATAGCAAAATATTTCAATTCAGCATTTTCTGTGTGTACAATTCAGTGCTACTGACTACCATTCTTCAAGTTGGGAAATCATCTTCAATGACCTTTTCTGAGTTGTTCCTTCTCCAGTAACATAAACTCACCACTTTGGAAGGTTTCTATCCAATCTTTTGAGTTACTTTTGTCAGTCTAATGCCATATAGAGAAATTCTGAAAGACAGTGCTCAAAGACAAACTTTGTTATTAGTAAAGCTAAACGAGTCTATGGTTTTAAGATGAGTTCAGGGGATATTTTTGTTTTAAAATTTAAAGATAATCTCAGGGTAGCCAAGTGTCCTTGGTTCCAGAAAGTCTAGATTCAACGAGAATTTGACCTGGGTCTTCATTTCTTTTTACTATCCTCATCTACTACTGAAGGACAGTGCAAGAGAGGAAGACCCAAGATGAGATGGATCGACACTGTAACTTGGGGAATGGTGGTAGGTGTGTTGGAGACAGTGAGATTGGCTCAGAATAGGCCAGGGTTCAAAGCTGAACTGTGTAGGGTTGCTATGAATCAAAGGCAACTCGACAGCATGTAACAAGAACAACCTTCTAGTTGTTGGTGGAAGAATCAATTTAGTTGTAAAAATGGCATAATATTAAGAATAATTTGGAAGACAATGGATCACTAATAATCTCATTAAGAATTCCCAAATAACTGTTTTCATATTTGCGTATTCCATTAAAATATTTTTAACTTTGTCTCTCTTTCCCTAGTAAAACTTCACTAATTTTTTGTAATGTTATATGCTTTTCAGTGATTTTTCAGAATGTCATTCCAATTTGGTCTGATCTCTTTACTTTTCAATTTGTTAGTTTATTCCCTTCCCTCACAATATTAAGGCATTAAACCGTGGGCTTAGGATATATAGATAGAGCACTGGAAAGGCATTAAACTGCCTGGGGTCTATGGAAACAGGAAAACATGTTAATGTCATAGCTTGTAAGACAAAAAGAATTTGAAACAAAGCTTGCTTTCCTTGGAAGAAAAGAGCAAGAAAAAGAAAGACTTGTTTTAGAGGTAGATAGAATTGGTGGAATATTCTAAGGACCAATTGAAATTCTCATTTGATGAGAAATATTTCCTTTACTAAATGCCCAAAATGTTCCCTGTTTAAGTCTTTTGCATAACCCAATTAGATGAAATTAATTATTTTGGATATGTTAACACCACTCTTTTTCACTTTAGTGCAACTGGCATTTGAGAGCATGGTTTTAAGAGAATGAGACTGAAAATAAATTTTGAAGCAAAGAGTAGGGAAGCATGAAACCTCAGGTTGCAATGGGACAGCATGACTTAAAGGACTTGAAGGTAGGGTACTAGACCTTAGGCAATGTTGGGAATGAGAAGAGCCAAACTACAAGGTTCCCAGAGGCAGATTCTGCTCACATCCCTTCTTTCAATCTCTGAAGAAAGTAGGAGCCATGGCATTGTTAGGCAGTAAATAGTTGATTCTTAGTACTTCCCTCCTATGCTCTTAGATTCTGATTTGATTCTAAAAGTAATGTAGGTTAGTTAAGGTTCTATGTTTTTCAATAGCTAATTGCTTCAGAATGTTGTGAGGTTGAGTTTTTTCCCATTTAGTCATTTAAAAGAACATTGATTAACCCTTCAGTATGGATCTTTAAAAAATAGTGTGCAGACCTTTCTCTTGTGGCTCTTGGCAGAGATGACGAAACCATCTGGTTAAGATTGAATTCAACTCACCAATTTGTATACTAGGGATTGAGTCTTTCTGCTGATTACAAAGAGGACTGATTTCCAGTTCAAATTTCTGCTCAAGATCACCTAGGAAGAAGCAGGAAGAAACACATTAATAATCTAGAATTTATGTAAGTGTTGATAGTTTTTCATGACCTAGTTGGAAAAGGTTATTCTGGGAATGACTCTTTCTTATCATTCGAAGCCTTCAACACAACTCTGCCTTTCTTTGCTAACTTCTGTGAAATTTTTAGATATTGGAGAATCCACAATCATTTACAATAAATTCATTGTAATTAGGTGTGGTCTAAGGTTAACTTTTGAACAAGCACTATTAAAAACAAGGAAAGAACTAATGGGCAATTTCCTGACATGAAACGGCACTTCTGACTTTAAGTCTAGCTTAAGAAAACAGATGTTATGCTAAGTATTCATTTTTTGCCTGAAATCAACAAGATCAACAAGAAATAATAATAATATTAATAGGTAGGAAATGGGAGAGAAGTAATAGAAAGACCCCATTATTCTAGAGGCAGCTTGGTCTGTTAACTATATCATTAATCATAAATAACAGTCCAACAATTCTTTGATTCTTAGAATTTTAACAAATGTAATGGAAGTTTAAAAAATATAGAGGGCAGAATAAAATTTCTTTTTTAATACTTTTGTCAGCTAGAGCTCTGAAAGTTTTCTATGATTAATTTTTATCATGTGAGGTATTTTGTTTAAAATACTCTATCATTCCTTTCTGAGGATGAAAAATTCTGAGGGTGTGTGTGTGTGTGTGTGTGTGTGTGTGTATGTGTGTGAAAACAGCAGAGTCGCTTAACAGAGAAGCTGGGTCTAGGAAACATAAACTCAGTTCACGGTTGGGAATATACTTTCTTGAATTAGAGAGATAAAAAGGAAATAGTATATAGTTCTTACTGGTGGCTAGGGGGCTCCAGTGCTCTAGGTTCGTAGGGAGCTACACAGCTAACCTAAAAGTAGTCAAATGCACCAACGACGGACAATCTAATCCCATGTGATTAACTACCTTGGAAACCCAACATATGGTCAGTTGTGGGTTGGTTCCCAGTCGACAGTAATGCATTTTTGAGTTTTGTACTGTGTGTTAGGTACTTCACAAATGTTAATAAATCTACTGTTCATGGCAATCTCCTTCTAATCCCCATTTTCACAGAGTTGAAGCACAGGGGAAGTAAGGAGATCACTCTTGGTCTCACTTGTAGTAAAGAATCAAGCCTAGGTTCCACCCTAGGGATCCCTGCTACAGATTGTCTCCCAGATGCCCCTTTTTGTCACCTCTTCTGAAACTGGCCATACTTCCCAGGATCTTTTGGGTGCTGGTGAGGAAATAATTTTGGTTTAAGCTTAAGGAGTTGAGGGAAGTCCCTTTACATTGATTCTTCAACTCCAGGTAGTAATAGCTTCTGAGGACAGAGTGTGACACCCTTAAAATGCAATGAAGTTCTACTCTAACCAGCTCAAATCCTCACCTCTCTATTCCTGTTAAGGTTGCTTGACTTTGGCGGACTTGTCTCTGGTTTCTCCCTTCCACTCTACCTACACATTAAGGCCCCAAATCCCTCTCTTAGCAATCTTCTGCTTGACTCTAGTTTGGTTTTTAAATATCTCCCCCCCCCACCCCCTTAATGTTTCCTCCTTAACCACTCTTGCTTGTATTCTATTATATATGTTACCTTAAATCTGCTATCTTTGATGACTCCCATTGTCATGTTTTCAGATGTAGCCTGGTGTACATGGGTCTCCACAAATCTACTTTTTTATAATGATTTTCTGTGGGACTAAGCTGGACCAAAGCCTGTTCCTGTCTGTCTGAACTAGGGCAGTGCAATAGAGTTTTCTAGAATAGCAGAAATACTCTCTGCACTGCTCATTAAGACAGCCTTTCAAAATACAGGCCTTAAAAATGAAGAAAGACAATGTCAATTTTATTTGATTTAAATGGAACTATCCACTTGTGTCTTGGGGTTACCATATTGGCAAATGCAAAACACTACACAGCCTGACTTTTCCCTTCCTTGGGTGCTAGATCTTCTAATATCATTGTCTGTTAAGTACTCAAATGCTTCCATGTGACCTCTGCTCTGGGTTGTTGTTTTTCAGGGGCCGTCTGACCTTTAAATTGGATCACTCATTGCTTTACTTATCCAATAGGTATTTATGAAGCACTTGTTATGTTTCAGACACTTTGCTATTCAATGTAGAAAATCCAAGGAGGAAAATTGAATCACATCTCCCCTACCAGGAGCTTTGCTGATTAGTATTTTGAAGGTACATGTTCTTGGATCCTTTATAAGGTCTCCAATAGGGATTTGTACATAAGAGTATCTCACTTTTGCTGAAGATTAGCCAAGACTACAAGTAAATATTTTAATAAAATCTTTTGGAACACTTGTTTGATGGAGAAGACATGTATTTGAAATGAATCAGGAAAGAATTCCACTTTCTGAAGAAGTTGGTTCTGGGAATACTGATTTCTATTCCGAGAACTTTACACTGTTTTTCTGATTTGTGGGATCTCATTTTCCTTCCCCTTTTTGGCCTTGATCTTGGTTTTAGGAGTTTTCTTTTGTTCAGAATCTCAGATCCTATTTGAGGCCCTTTGACAGGGACTCTTAGCAGTCTGAGGAAGCCTGACTGAAAGGAGGAGAGAAGAGTCCAAACCCTGAACTGAAGCCAGAGGAAATTCATCAAAGTGAGAAGTCATATTCATCAGGTTTTTAGCAAGTAATAATGAAAGTCATACAAGTGTTCAGGTCGTTTGTTCATAGGGTCATTATGAGTTGCCTATGACTCGACAGCACTTAACAACAACAACAATAACAACAACTAGAGAGATCAGTTGGCGTAGTGGATAGAAAGTGATGCTAACAAGCCAAAGATGGGTGACTTTAATCCGTGGCCCTCAGACCTGGTTTTACCAAAGGTAGGTGACTTTAATCTGCAGCCCTTGGGCCTGTTTTTAATTGTTTTTGGTCGTATAGCCCTGGTCTGTCCACTTGCTGCATAGAGGTAACTGGTTGATGCTGTGAAGCTGAACACTGTGACACTGATGTGTGATAATGGTTACCCATGGTGGAGAGTGTTTGGTGGAACTCCCTGATTAAAACAAACTTGGAAGCAGGAGTGGCATCCACATCCAAAATAGCTTGCCTCCAGAAGCCCTATGAACCTGGAGAAATGATGAAAGCCATAAAGTGTCCAGGTCTTTCGTTCATAGGGTCGCTATAAATCGCCTATGACTCGATGGCACTTAACAACAACAACAACAACAACAAAGTCATTACGGAGCACAGGCAGTTGAAGTGACCGGAGAGTCTTCTCTTCTTGACCAGGCAGACATCTGCTAACATCTAGGGTTATTAGATCAAAAGGAGCCTTCTGTGTCCTCCAATCATATTCCCCTACCAGGAGATGATGTGCCAGAGAGCAAGGGGCATCAGATCTGATCTATGGAGACCAGATAACAAATGTTCTAGGTTTTCTCACTCCATAATGCTGCAGTTAACGTACATTGTTAGGACAACAGTCAGGTTTTACAAAGAATCCTCATGATGCATCACGTTTGCCCTCTACTGACCTAACAGCCTGAATTTACCAACTCAACTGGTTGTACTCTATGCCCGAGTCACATAGTCCTTGCCCTAATTGCCCATAATCCAAACGATGTATAAAATGATCAAAGGGAAGACTCACGCTCTCTCACTACAAACAATGCATGTAAGTGAATCACAGCAGAGCAGGAATTTCCAAGGATGGTCCCAGTTCCTCTCTCTGTGCGCTAGTGACATAGTCCTCATATCACACAGAAAGGGAAGTAAGTACTCATTATATCCAGTTGAAGTCCTCACCACTCCACTTTCAATATATTTCCTTTTGTTATCAAATATATTGTTTCAGTTTATTGGCCCTAAACAGATATTGGATCTCACAGACAACTAGAACTAATCTTTTGACTCCTAACCTGTTATATTCAGTTTAAGTGAAAATGCACAGGGTTGGAGAAGCCATAGGAGCACTGTTGCTCTGAACCAGAGAGGTGGTTAGAAGAGCCTTCTGGCCCCACACGAACTCAATCACCTCTTTGTCTCCTGTCTTTGGGGCCATCGTGATGCCATCAACACATCTCTCAATGGAGGCGTCTGGAAAAGGCTAACTGTCGCTATTTGACCTCCCCCCAGCGCTGGTATGTGGGGCACTTGAAGCCTTATTTGTTCTTAGTCTCTCTCCAACCTGATCCTGTCACTAGCACCAGGGCACTGCTGTGCCTAAGCAAACATCCTGCACCCTGAAACCAGGCCCGAAGAAACACGGCTGTGTCCAAACGCCTACGGCCCCCCAGCCGTCAGGATGCTGCCTGCTACTTCAGTGCTTTACTTCTGAATGAGGTTCATCTGTGGGAAAAAAAAATGATTATTCCCTACTTCAGGCCTTTTCATAGCAAAATTCTTTACCTCGTGCTTGAGGCTGTTTGAGAGGATGCTCACAAGTGTTGGTCAGCTGTGTTTGGTGTCATTTAGAGTTTTACTTAAGAAAATGGGAGGAAAGAAGGAGTCTTAAGTCCTCTGTCGGAGCAGGAAAAATGGACCGCAGATGGCATTTAACCTTTAGGTTGTACTCAGCTCATTAAAGTGAAAGGCAAAGCATAGCTGCATGGGAAAGCCATATATGGAAAAAAATGTATATGTAATTATATATCTCTATATAAAATTTCCCTTTCAGTCATTTTTTCATGTACCTCATCACTATTTGTTTCTGTAGTAAATGACCTTTACATAGTTTTGTTTCCTCCCCTCCCCCAAATGGGCAGAATGGTTTGTTTGCAAGACAGGTAAAGAGAAAGGTTAGGATAATAAGAGTTGATGAAAGAGCAAATGCCATGAAAGATAAATTAGCCATTATCCTATTTCATGAGGAAAAATGCCTAAAAGGAGACAGAAGGAGGCAGAGTCCGCCTGGGGGCCTCACGAACCTTGCCGGTAGAATTCTTCACACACTCTTTCACTCCACTGCTTGCTCATCTCCCAGATTCTACAAGGATTGCAGATGTCGGCACACTTCAAGGCAATCTGGGGGGTGGCAGAGGAGGGGGAGATTGTCAGAAGGTGACCCTTCAGTAGCAAAAGCACCTCAAGCCAAAGCCAACCCCTCCTGTGAGTAGATTCACAGACACCGTCTAGGTCAGTGGAGAACTGCCCCCTAGGGATTTCGAGGCTGTTTCCCAAAGCAGACCACTTCATCATTTTCCAGGGAAGTGGCCGGTAGGTTTGAACCACTAACCTTTTGGTTGGCAGCTGAAGCTTTGGTGACAGTGCCACCAGTGCACCCTCCCTAACGGAGACTGTGCAACCACTCAGTCTGTGGGTACCCTTTGCCTCGGAGGGAACCAGCAGAAAAGGATTGACCCTGGCTCTTCTCAGGGTGTGGTCCAGAGCTGATCTTTCAAAAGTACATTACTCAGCCTTTCTTCCAAGGTGCCTCTGGGTTGACTGGAACAGTCAGCCTTCTGGTTAGCAGATGAGTGCATTAATCCTTTGAGCCACCCACGTCTGGCTGGCTCAGGGTGCTGGCCTGTGTTTACAGAGGGCCTCCTGGCTTGTTCCTTCAGGAAACAGCACTTATTCACTGCTACACAAAACCTCTTTTCAGAACTCCCACTTCGAGCAGTGAGAATAAGGGAAGAGCCACAGGGCAAGGACACACGGCTGCTTCCTGGAGGAGACTCGAGAGGGACAAGCCAAAGAAAGCTGTGGCCTGGCTCCTCCTGCTGCTCCTGCTCTAGAAGTGAGGGAAGCCACCAGGCATATGAGCCAGGTTCAAGTGAGATCATGGGACCTTGTGCTCATCCCACTGACCAACCCCATACATCACCCAAGTTCTGCATGTTGGCCTTTCCACGCCCCTGTCTGGCTGAATTAGGCTGTATCTCATGTCACATGCACGTGTGCTCTGTTTGCAGCGCTAAACGAGGCCTTCTTAGCTTGCCTCCCCACTGGTCTGGATCTGGAATGCTAGCTATGGTCAGCCACGCTGCATGAATAGGGTTACCTAGAATTCTCTGAGAGATTCTCCCCCTTAACCAGCAGCTGTTGAGGGACCTGGATGGACTCCTAGTGTGTGTCCTGCTCACCAGCAATGTCTCTTTGCTTTGATCAGATCGAGACAGTGATGGGGTCTGGATAAGCCCGATAGCATTAAGTTGCCAATTTGATTTTTTACTTTCTGGTTGATGGAGGGACTATTTTGGGTTGGAGTAGGTAAGAGCAGAAGACCTCTCCAGATGCTGGCTGCTAAAGGATTCATCTGAGCAAGCAAGTTTGCTTTCTGAAATACAAGCCTGCAGGCTTTTCCTTGAGTTACTAAACTCAGGCACCTGACAGACACTTGGTAGCACTCAGAGACTAGACGATTAGTCTGGGAGAAAGGAGGAGGGAGGCATAACTCTACAGATGGATGTAGGATGTTCCCTGGAAAGGATGGAACATGCTAGTCAGTTACCGAGGCTGGCATCAGGCGGGGAGAGTGAGACAAAAAGACTACAATTCAGTGGAACTACCACTATCTCCCCGGTGAAAATTGGTCAAGATCACCCTGGAGGCCATCCACTCCATCTTTTGTAAAAAAAGGGGGGTGGGGGAAGAAAGGTGAAAGAAAACAGAAGATTAAGAAGAAGGCTCTGGTTCAAATATTTGGCTTCCATTTCCAAAGTCCCCTCCTCTGTTCTTATGTCAGAGACGGCTTCTTGATACAAAGGGTTGGCCCTGATGCATGCAAATGGTTTTAAACTTAAAAAAAATTATTTATTGATTCCCCAATGCGGCAAAATTTGACAGGCATGTTTGTATCTCAGATGAAATAGGAGTTTATGAAATAGATATTAATGAATTAAATAAATAGAGTTCTATTAAATAGATATGAGGTAAAGGAAGGTTATTTGTTTCTCAATTTGGGGGAGAACAATAGTGAATATAGGGAGTGTTGGTGGCCTAGTCTGTAAGGAGTTGTGCTGCTAACACAAAGGCTGCACCCTTTGGTGGTTCAAATCTACCAGCAGCTCCAAGGAAGAAAAATAAGCAATCTAATGCGTTTTCAACAACCTGCTGGAGGGTCAATTATGAGTTGGTTCCAGCTCGGTGATAATGACCTGTAGTTAATATAATAACACACTTTCATATTATAGAAACTGCCTATGTAATTGTAATATTGTTTCAGTGGTCAGTTCTCTCCTGAGCCACAAAATATGGTTAATCCTCACCCAATGCAACAACCAAGGGGTTATTTTGTGGTGAAGCAGTTCCCAAACAAGGAAATGGGTGATGTTATCAACTCACTCACCCAAAACCCAGGCTTTGCTTGCTTGAAAAACCACTTAAAAAATTCATGTGTCACAAAGCTTTTAAGAAAGTAGGCCACCGCCCAAACTTATACCAAGGGAGTTGCAGCTTGCTCAAATGTGCTAAAATTATCGATCATGTCCTTAAGTGATTTTTACCTGATGTGAATAATGGCTTTACATGTTCTTTTTTTT